TACTAAACCTTCGTTTAGAGATGATTACTATTTCATTTTAACCAACAAAAAGCTTTTCTATCATGTTAAAATGCTCACAAGCTATATATTCCTTTTATCAGGTCAAGTGACATACTCCTAGCTCACCATTCTCACTTCGATTTATTCTGATAATAATCTTGTCTCAAAACAGGAAAGTTATAAAGTTAAACAAATGTTTCTTGTTACCTCCTGGATATCTGAGCTTTTCCAAGTACTAGGTACATAGCAGTGACCACAATCCCTGCCTTTGCATGGATGTTTGGCCCAGCAATTGAGATAGTCCTGCACCACCTTGGAATCAGTTGGTTCAGTCCTTGGTTTCAGCTCCTCATTCAAGTGTGCAACTTCCTGTTGATGTGGAGGTCCTGAGAGGTGGCAGCAGTGGCTCAGTTAATTGGGGTTTCTGCCGTCCACATGGGAGACCAGATTGAGCTGTTGCCTCAACTAAAGTTTGTGATGTTGTTGGAATTTACAGAGGATGAACCAGAGGATGGAAGTGCTCTCTTTCTCTCTCTCTCTCTCTCTCTCTCGCTCTCTCTCTCGCTCTCTCTCTCGCTCTCGCTCTCGCTCTCGCTCTCGCTTTCGCTCTCACTTTCGCTCTCTCTGCTCCCTCTCCCCACTCTCTCTGCCTCCCCTCCCCTCTCTCTCCCTCTCTCTGTCCTTATCACTGTGTCTTACATCTGGTAAACAAGATAAGCAGTTCTAGAGAGTATTGAATGCTCAGAACAAGAAACAGAACAAAACAGAAGGTATTTGAAAGAAGAGAGTACTGAAGTTTTGTTGGATTGACCAGGGAAGACCTCACTGAAAATAAAGTTTTTGAGAAGAAATCTAAAGGAACTGTAAGGAAGTGAGCCCTTGGCTTGTCTGAGGAGGGGCGTGGCAGACCTAAAGAACAGCCCATATGTGGGCTCAGACTGGTGCAGGGTTACACAGGGAAGAACTTGGAGGGTGACGTGGAACAAGCCCACTACTATTTTTCTTTATTCTGTGATTTTCCTTAGAGTTATGTGTTTATTCCTTGTAGTTGTATGCAGATACATGGTTTACTTTAAATGATTTTAACAAATTTTAAAAATCTGCTGTTGTTACCATTCCAAGAGTTAATATAACACCAGTGAATTAGTAAACAATTTGTACTTCTGGGAAAACATAATTTTTCTACTTACCATTCAACTTCATGATTAAAAATTAATACAACTAAATCTTAGGTTGAAGATATTTATTAATAATTCAGTTGTTGAATGTTGCTTTTTAAATAACTGTTGATATTTTTTTTTAGTTCTTCTTAGAAAATTTTAAATAGTCATAACTTAAGGACCACTTTAAATTATTAAATTTCATTGGCATCTTTTTACAATTAAATTATAAGAAAAGCAATCCAAAATATCCTATCTTGGACAGTTTCTGCTTTCTTAGGTTTCTGTCCACACTTATTTCCATGGCTTTCTGTTCAGCCAAAGTAAAGTTCTGGCTTTACTGAGCAAGAATCCTTGTAAATAAATGGAAACTGAATGATGTCAAAAGATATTTATCTCAAATTGGCACTAACAAAATCGAACTTTTAGCATTTATGGCCTGTGCTAGAATGAACTTTTTTTTTTGGAAAGGAGAAGAGAGAAAGAGACCTCACCAAAGGTCAGCAACAGCAAGGACATGGTTAGGCTGTAGTCAGGTGCCAGGAACTTAACCCAGGTCTCCAAAGTGGGTGACCAGGACTCATCCAAGCTGCACATTTACAGGAATCTGCTAGGCTATCTGTGCTCATCTTTCACAATTTTGTTAAATTTTAGTACTCCTTTTTTTATGTCTGAGTACTTTCCAACATATATATATAATATATGTGTGTGTATATATATATATGGATTTATACATATCACACGTGCTTTAATGTTCTCTTCATAGCTTGTTTGTGAAATGGTGTCTACAGTGTAAGTGAATGAATCTTGGCTGCCACACAGCAGTGTCATGGCAAATTTACTCTCTGTTGCAGTGCCCTCCAGCATGTGCCAGCAGTGAGAATTCTTAGCCCTTACTTTGTGGACAGCTGTTAGTCACTGGGAGTGGGCTCAGTTGAACTTTGTGAGGGCACACAGCAATGGCAGGGCACCACTGCCTCACACATGTTCTTTGGCCTAAGAAATAAAATCTTTATTTAAAGAAGCTTTAGACAAAAGGCGATGACATGCTAAGTTAAGGAGAAGTGGTACCACCAGAATTTTGGCTGCCAATGCAGCCTAAGGCCCTTAGGGGGTACTTCTAGACCGGAATACTGCGCAGGTGTGGCATATACAGGGGACCCTTCACAATTTTTGGTTAATGTTCTCAGCATTGGAAAGAATCCAAATATAGCAGTTACTCCTTTGTCACCAGGATGCTTTAAAAAATTCCTCATCTGCAGCATATAACCTTATCCTGATTATAAATCAGAATGTCTTGGGGCTAGGCGGTGAGGGAGGCAGACTTCAGGGATGATCAATGTACAGTAGATCTAGGGAGCTACGGAATCTGTGGCCCCCAGCTTCCTTATTCCTCAGACTTCAGCACCATTTGTGGGAGCCTGACAGTCCTTTCACTAAATATATCTTCCTCAAGCAGATTTGAGCTTTATGTCTTTTAATGCTTGTAATTTTATTTTAATTTATGTTTTATTGGTTTTCAGTTATCAGAAAGGCAGGGTGAGAGTGAGGGTGGTCTTTCAGATCATCCAATAGTTAGTTGACTCCACAAATATCCACAACAGGCTGAACTCAGGAGCCAGAAGCTCCGTCCAGGTCTCCCAAATGGGTAGTAGGAACTTAAAACACTTGAACATTAACAGGAAGCTGGACTGGATGTGGAGCAGTGAGTACTTGAACCGGCACCCTGATATGGGATGCTGGGGTCCTAGGCAGCAGCTTACTGCACTGTGTCATGATGCCCAACCCTACATCTTGTAGATTGTATGCTATTTTATGTAGATCTTACTTGTTTTCAACTTTGTTTGACTACTGGCCCATTTTGTGCCAATCTTTTTTCCCCACCTAGTACAATTAAATTCCTTTATAGGTTTAAGTAAAATCATGACACTGATTTATGACACAAGATAGAACCATGTATCTCTGGGCATTAACTAGTTGGGAATTTTCCTCCTTTGTTAAAACAATAATGACTTCTTTTCAGAATAAAGCATTGACAGTTGATTTGTTTTCCCAAATCCATTTTTTCTTTTCTCCAGTGTAGTAATGAACTGTTTGCAAGCTGACCTAAACTTAGGAGTCTGAAGGAGTTCACTGATAAATTTATATCACAGTCAAATTAATATGTCCTGATATAGTCATGCAAAGCGATGGATGTGTGAGACAAAAACTATACCCGTGGCATTACTAAACCCTGGTATCACAAGAAAGAACATTTCCTCTCCAAAGAGGAAGTTTCAATGTAGTGTAAGAAGAGAATAGAGTGACAAGTGATTCCTGTTGTTGGCCAGAGCGATGGTTCTGGCTGTACTTCCCCGAGCATTTGCTTAAAACTTGACGTAAGTTCAGGTGGTGACAATATTATCTATAAGACTAGAAATTAAGAATGTATGTTTTCATGTACCATGTAAAATATGTGTGTGAAAAAACTGCAGAACATGAGCGTTGCTTTTTGTTTTCTTTGTCATTTTGAAATCCAAGAACACGATTTTGTCTCCAGTGTTGTCCAAGTATTGTAAAATTGTGGAAATCTCTAGCTTAATTCATAACATTTGGTCATCCAATTTTTATGTTGGGTTTTTGTTGTTTTGCATTTTTATTTTGTTTTGTTTTCAGCCATCATTTTTTGTCTTATCATCTTCACTTCTAGAGCAACCTGACAACAATAATGATACCACTGACGTGGGCGTCCTTGTCATTCCTGACATTAGTGTCACACATGTGGCCGGAGAGAGAACCGGGAATGGGGACAAGGGCAGAGCCCTAGGAGAGATGGATGCTCAGCCTGTGCAGGGTGTGCAGGACACAGCCACAGACCCTAGAACTGAGAGCAGAGGCTTGCCAGAGGTCAGGAGGCAGAAATCTGTAAGAAAAATGATGGAGGATGGAATAAGCCCACCAGCCAGAGTGCAGTTTTAGCAGAACACTTGATAGCTTCCCTCCAAGGTATCTCAAGGCACAGAGCCACCAATGCATGCTAAGCCGCAGTTGCACAGTCACAAAAATGTTGCATGTCCTCTAATAATCAAGCTGCATGCACTATGCGCACAATTGCTCTTTGACTCTCAAAGCAACTTGGAATGGTCATGCCTCCATTGTCTCCAAGTCAATTGTTATAAAAACAGAGGCAGAACACTGCTTCCCAAAACAGTTTTCTGCTTATGTTTCATGATCTAAACTTATTTTTTCACGTCTATGTTTTTACCATCTTCAATATGAAAGATAGTATATTTGAAATTCTGTTTTAAGCTTGAACTTGTGATATGTACATTCCAGATTTTTTAAAAATTTTAATATCTAGAATCTAGAATACGATCTTCTTAAAAAAAAAAACTCTTAAATATTCTAATGCTATTTATTTCACCCCCCCCCCCAAACACACACACAAAAGTTCCTTGGTGAGAGTTTTGATTTTATACTCTTGCTACTGGGGGGGCATTTATTTTCCCCTAGTTTTATTGTGTAGTGATTTTTCTAATTGTTTCTGATCTTTTGCATGAATAATAGAACTCTTTCTAAAAACACTGTGGGGTGTGATTTGTGGCATGCTTTTTGTTTAATACACTCTAAATCACTGTCATCTAATTACAATGAAATATCCCTGATGTTTGTGGAGAAGATGTGATCTATCCTTTGATTTTTCAGTAATTTGTCACATTATGAAATGATGCTGAAGCATAATGTACTGAAAACAATTGATTTGTCATTAATTGTTTTAAAGGACTCACTCATTAATTGTTTTTGAAGGACTCACACACGATGCTTAATGTATTAATGAATCTTTGTTATTTCTTTGTTTAGGAGACACAGAGCTAACGGGTCAAGAAGAACTGATGGAGATAACGGAAGTTGACGAGGGATTTTATTCCAGGGCTGCGTCTAGTGCCAGCCAGTCAGGTTTATCAAACAGCAGTCACAATTGTAGTAACAAGACAAGCATGGGGAAGAACCCGAGGCGGTCGGGAGGGAGCAAGCCTGCAGGAAGAGACAAAGAAGCGGCCGGAGAAAGCTGCAAAGATCATTTTGCGCGAAAGCAAACCCAGAGGGCCCAGAGCGAGAACCTCGAGCTTCTGTCTTTGAAGAGGCTGACGCTGACCACCAGCCAGTCTCTACCGAAGCCCAACAGCCACGGCTTGGCCAAAACAGCGGCCACTGTGTTTAGCAAGTCCTTTGAACAAGTCACCGTCCCACAGAATCCACCACCTGCCATCGCTTGTGGGCCTGGGATGGAAGCCAATAGGTTTTCCGCTTGTAGCCTGCAAGAAGAGAAGCTGGCTTATGTCTCAGAAAGAACTGAACTTCCGGTGAAGCATCAGCCGGGAGCACAAAGACCACCTAGTATTAGCATCACCTTGTCCACGGATTAGCCTGTCACGTTTTTCTCTCTTATGCTAGGGATTCTGGCGCCGCAATGTGGCTTTTGATGAAAGCGCCCTGGTTCTCTCGTGCCTGCTCCTGACACGAGTTCCTTCAATGCTGGAGGCGCCCTTGACTTTACGAAGGGAATGATGTCTAGATGGCAGTAAGTGGAAGCACAGTTTTGTGATTTCCTAGTTATGTGTTTATTTTCTCCCTCCTTGGGTTTGAGTCTTTTTAAATTTCCTTTCTCGTGACTTGCCCTGGGAGTTGGCATTGTGGCAACAAATTTCAGCAAGTAAACTAAAGCGTCAAGATCAAGATGACTAGATGTCAGGTGAAGGTGTGAATTGGTGGGGTTTTTTTGGTTGGTTGGCTGGTTGGTTTTTGTCTTTTTTTTTTTTTTTAAACAGCTTCTGTTTTGGTATCTCTGTGCTTGGCCTGCAGAGTCAGATAAGACTGTTAAGCACAGAATCAGGCAGACGTGTGACTCAAGGTGTTCTACAGCTGGCGGCAGTTCAGTGAGCTGGGCCAGGAGAGCAGGCATGTGAAAAGAAAATATGATGTCTCTGAGAAGTGTCCGATAAAAATGTGGTGGCTAGATCATATCTAAGGTTGGGAGGGCTTGTTCAGAGCCCCAGAGGATGCCTGGTGTGGTTCAGTACCTAGGATGTGATGTGATTCTGGGACCTTTCCTTTGTTAGCGTTGGAATATTTTTATGTCAAAAAACAGACTGCTGGTAGGTGTTGTTTTTGAAGTGTTTGATCTGGATGTAGCAAGTGGAAGTCTCTGGATTCTGAAGGCAGAAGGGGGCACACAGCTGATGTATGCTGCTCCTCAATTTTGGAAGTCCTCCCCAGTGTGGATCCTTTTAATTTAGAGAATCATCAAAGACTCCCCGGAAATCATGAAATCTTGCAACACACTTGTGCTCCACATACCACTTCTGACAGTTATCAAAGTATGTGTCTGCAAATGAAGAAGGGCTTTTTAATCTAAAGGATGTCCCGGAAACAATTAAAAATGGTGAAATTTGGACAGGATGGCATTCATGTATTGGCCAAGTGAGGGTTGCCTGTGTTCTTCAAATAAGAAAGCTATGAAATGTGTTTCTTGCTTGTGAAGAGGCCTGTTTGAAAGGTTCTTATGATGACATACGAAGAGTGATCCATTTAGTTACCCCCAAACCAGAAAATAAAAACAAGAAAAAGTGAGACAGCAGAAGCTAAACAAGCTTGGACATAACCCTAGGGGTGGACGTAATCTCCAGATGAATGTAGGTACTTGGTGTTTGGCAGTCATGGCAGCTGTCAAGGCGGAGGTTCCCCTGCGAAAAGCAAGTGTGTGCCTTCAGAATTCCGAATGAGAGGAAGAAGCAGGGCTGAGGATGTTGGTGACTCCAGGCAGGCGGAGCATGGGGAGCTGTCCCCATCGTGGACTCTTTGGCTTGGAGTACACAGTGGAATCCTTGTTCGTGACCCCTGGCTGTGGTCCCCAAGAGAACTCGCCAGTCAGCTCCTTCCTGTAGCTGCTTATACAGAGTTCACATATGTGAGGAACTACCTGTGCCCTGCAGAGGGGCCAAGCGTTTCCATGCTGTTTTGACTTCAACTGCTGTGCCTTCCAGTTTAAACCCAATCCTTTAAGAACCCTAAATACAAAGTGGTTTTTGGCATAAATGAATTTGATAGATTTTTAAAATTCAGTAACAGGATGAAATAAGATATATTAGAATAAATTATAGTAAAACAAACAAACAAAAAACCAAAAATAAACAAAACTATCAGGCAACCAGACAGTAAAAGTTGGTATTGTATTAATATACTAAGAATTCTGTGCACAATTTAAAGTATTTGTAAAATTCACTGTGAATTTCCTGTTGTCTTTTTGTAATTCTTTGAAAGAGTATTTCCCCTGTGCATGGTTTCTAACAGTATTGATATTCAGAAATGTGGTAGGACACGTTTTAGGAAAGGCTAAGTGACACAGATGAGAGCTCAGATTGTAACATTGCGCCACAGGAGTGGAAGTTGACTTGATATTATTCTAGATCTCTGCTACTCACATGGCGCAATGACTGGTAGGTACGATTGAGGTCACTCAGCATCTTTTTGTTTTTTAAAAAACAAAAAGCATAATTTCACGGTCACCCCAGTTTCATTGAATCAGAGTCTGGGTTCTACCACGAGCCCAAAGTGATTTTAAATGGATTAATGTTTGAGAGCACCAGAGTACAAAAACAGGTGACTTGTATGTTTGCTTTCCAGTGGTCTCACAACCCGAGGTCAAATATGGTAGATGTCAGACTGTTATAATCTTCATTGTTTCGGACATCACATTAATTTGTTAATAACACTGACACATGACTTCTGAAGTCCTGCAAGTTTCTGACGATCTTTATTTTTTTTTTTTTGGATGACTTTCACATTGTTGATAGGGTGAAAAAAAGCAACATTTTGTATTTTTCTTGTTAACCATGAACAAAATCAAAGCTGCATCTGCCCACAGTCTTAAGTTGGGAAGATGGCTTCTCGGCCTTTTGGCTAAGATCAAGTGAAACTGAAAGAAGTACCACTGTTTTATACGATGCATTTGCATGTGTGTTTTCTTTTTGATAATCTCAGAAGTTGCTTTGCTCAGTGAAGTGGTTCTGAATTTTTGCTTCAAGTGATTTGCACCAATTATTCTTCCGGTGTGTGGAACTAGTTCTATTACCCATAAAATTCTTGTATGTTACCTTTGATACTATTTCAGATAAAGGTTACACATTAAAATATTTAGAGCAGTTTTATAGCAATGCTGAATCAACTGTGACAGTAGTTGTTATTATCCCTATCACTCTCTTCCCTCTTCACCTTTCAGGCCTAAAAATTGAGGTGACTTTTGTATGTCGCTTTGCTGTAATGATGCAAATGGTCACCAATTTGCTATGTTTTCTGAACAATGCGTCTGATCCAGGGGAAGGATTTCATGAAGAATCGGGGCCCTGCACCTGAAACCTCAGAGGATCTGGGCAGAAATCACACTTCTTTTCCACATTATAAGCCTCGATGGGTTCTAGAAATGGCCCAACCTGTCATTGTTGAAAACCTAACCCTGCAGGATGTTGTAGGCAAGCTGGCCTCAGCAGTCGCCTTCTGGAATCCTAACGGCGGCGGGGGGGGGGGGGGGGGGAGACAAGGCAAACTTCAAAGCAGCAAATCAGAACACTCCAGACCAGCGTCTCCCGGGAAGCACCCCAAGAGATCCTTGTCTGTCGCCCCATAGCTTCCAAAACCAAGCATTGCAAACTTGAAGAGTGGAGATTCTCAGCCCACTGAATTGGTGACTCAGTCTTAAGTGATGACTGAACTTTGTTTTGATGAAGCAGTATTTCCTTACCCTTGTCATACAGGAAACAACCTAACAAACACAAGTCTTCAAAAAAAATAAAAGTAAAAGAAAGTGTTAAAGGGAAATCTATTTTTAAGCCAAAATAGATCAAAATGATCCCACTTTTAAAGAGATTTTGTCTTTTTTGGAAGAACAAAATGCTAAAACAAATTGTGGAGAAAAATGTACTCAGACATGTGATTTTAAACCTATCTAAAATGGACACTTTAATGTTTGAGTCTGTAGGCACATTAAATCTGCATTAAAGAGAAGCACATTAGGGAAATAATAGACATTGGATCATGCAACTGAAAAATATTTATGGAAAGCTATTGAAGCAGAAATAATTTGATGGGTATCTAAGTCTTGTAAATAGACATGAATGTATAATTGTGTCTTCCCAATCTTCAGATGAAATTATTAAAACTGTCAATTAATGAGCATGAATTTGTACTTTCAGATTTGTGGCTTAATAAAATGATACTCAGTAGCCCATGTTATTCAGGTTTGTGTTTAATATTGTTGAATTCTTTATGAGAGACCGTCAGTGCTTTGTGCTTTGTGTACAAACAAAGAGAATTGCAGTAGACATTTTGAAAGCTCTTTTATGTTTTTTATAGCTGAAATCTAGGGTCCCTGTATCTTAATATGAAGTTTTTGCTGGTAAACCTGAGATCTGGTTTCACATAGTGTGGTTTTCTGTTACATGAAGCTTACCTCATATCCTTACTCCCAATTGTATAGTGATACTAAAACTTTCACAATAAGTATACTTATTTCTTACTGTGTTCCTATGAGTTTACATTCCTAAATAATTAACTATGACTTTGGATATTTTATTTGTCCCCTACATTTTTAAGGCTATGGAAACAAACTGGAGTTTCTGGTTTTGTTGTTGTTTGTTTTGCTTGTTTGTTTGTTTGAAGTTTTATATATTTGTGTAAGTGTTCTTCGTATGCAGTAATTTATACAGCAAGTGTTGGCTTCTTATTTTATTTGAAATAAAAACTAAAAAAAAACAAATGTATTTTTTCCAGGTCATTTTACTCCTAAAAAAATTTTAAAAATTTGCAAAACTCATGATGTGGAGGAAGAGAAAAAAGGAAGAAGAATTAGGTGAGTTGGGCCATTGAGAGCTTTTGGGATAAACCATAGGACAATGCCATTTCTGACTTTATGCCTTCCCTGGTGTAGGCATGTGTGGTGTGACAGTGCTGTTAGTGTCTGTCTGAGAGCATGAGTCCCTTGGTCCCATCAGTCAAAGCCAACTGTGATTCCAAAAGCATGGGAAAATCTAAAGAATGTTGTTCTGCCTTTTTAACTTTGATCAGAGTCTTGATCTCTTCAGTAGAAATCAGATGGCCCTAGCACTTTGGATAAGACTTTCTGATTGATCAGTATGAATGAAGGAATTAGGCTGATGTTAGCTTTGGGAGATAATCAAGGATTACACTCCAGTCAGTATCTTATCTGAGTAAGATTTTAGAATTTCATTCATTGGCTCAAGGAGATTGTAGATGGCACTGCTTGAATTGTTTGACTATATGTCCATAGAATCAAGACCCACCTGGAAGCTTGTAACAATTCCTGGTATGCAGTTGGCTATATAAGGAATGAAGTCATTTAGAAAATACATGTAGGAGACCAGAGCAGCAATTCTGTAAGCAATGTATGTGTTTTCACATGTGTTGAAATATGTGCTCTTTTGGTGCCTAGAATAATTAGTCCCAATAATTAGAATCTTTGTTAATATCAGCATAATTGTTTTATAGTTACAAAGAAAGGCCTTTACAAACAATTGTAATCACTTGGTAATTTTCCTTGCATTTTATTTCTGTGGTGGTTGTCACAGCAAATATTTATAACTAAAATTGTGGTTTTATTGACCCCTCAGAACAGTCATAAAAAAACCCCATTTTACTAAAGAGGAAATTGAAGCTGTTAAAACACATGACCTACTAAAGGTCATGTTGCTGTTGTGTGATAAAATCAGGTCTTGGACACAGTTCTTACTTTTCTATCACTTGGCAAAAGAAGATATTAAATACCACATAAGACATGTCTATTTGAAATTCATTCATTCATAGATCTTATAGGTGATAGAGTTAAGGTTTACGCTAAAATAAAACCAAGCTTTGCTAAAATTAAATTATGTGTTTTGTAGAATTTGAGATTAATGTGATTCAGTGGTATATTCCTAGTTATTCTTGAATTAAAAATAAGGTAAGATGCAAATTCAGATTAAGGGTTTTTTTTTTTCCCCATCAGGTTGATAGATATTTAAAAGCTTTGTTATAGACTTGGCATAGATGTAGGGGGAAGCAGCCTCTGAGACAACTAGTAGGATTGTGAAGTGGCACAGCTCAATGGGTGGGCGATGCCGCAGGATCTAGCAGCTGTAATGTGACCTAGTAATCCTGCTCTTCTGTGTTTCTGCCACTCTGCATGCTCTATGAAAAACTTAATGTCAATGTTTATAAATGTAAGCATGCAAGGCATTTGTTGCAGCATTACTTTTAATAGCAAAAAAAAAAAAAAAACCCCACCCAAAATCAGAAAGGAACCCAAAACAAAACAAAACAAAACAAAAAATTGAAAGAAACCCAATGATCTAAATGTCCCTTAATGAAGGAATGATACTTTATGGTGCATATGCGTAGTAGAATATGATGTAGCCATTAAAAAAGAATATGAATCTATAGGCAAAGACTTTGGTTATGCAATAAAATGTTCCCTCCTACAAAAGCAAGGCATGGAACTAACTATATGAGGATAGTTCACAACACCCTGGAAAGTGTATATTATGCAAAATTTTTGCATGGATTTTGAAATGTTTTTGCACCCAAATAAACTGACCTTTTAACCCCATTTTCCCGTAGACATTTTTAAGATGCCTTCCATTAAACATTGCATGACCCCACTTTAAAAACTAGACCTGTGTAGAATGCTCTGTAATGGGAATAAACACATTGTAATACACACATATGCTTGTTAGTGTTGGTGGGGGAGGAAAGCATTGTTTCTCAGGTTGTGGTCTAAGGCAACATGCATTAGGGAAAAAATATGATGGATTTTAAAATGGAACTTCTCTGAATTAGAATCTCTTAGTGAAATATGGAAACTTATACCTGTTAATGAGTTTCTCAAGTGTTGCTAGTGAGAAAGTTTGGTCTAGCTGCTGATGGGCAGTACATTGGTTATTGAAGAGACCTTGTATTTTCAATGGTTCCTTAGTAAGATGAAGGCAGTACATGCTAATTGACGTCAGCAACATAGACCTGATAGTAAAAAGATGACATTGGAAAATGATTTTATTGACAGGAGTACACATCTGTCAAATGACAAATCCTTTACAAACAAATCTCTGCTTTTGTTGAACTGTCCCAGACTCATCAGGTGGCTTGTTAAGAAATCAAAACAAAATGATAGAACTCACTGCAATAAGAAGATGCCACCTTAATCCACTTAGTTGTAGGGCCCTGAGGTCTGCACTCAAATGGCCTAGGGCATGTCTGGCAAGGCTGGCAATGGTTGAGAGTGGCCAAGTGAGAAGTTAAGGATTAGTGGACCCAGCAAGAAAGGATCTTGAAGAGTCTTGACTAAGTCAACTGTTGGCATAACTAGAAACTGTCTGCCCAGGTAAGCAGATTGTGTGTAACCTGCAGTAGATTGTTCTGATTTTTTTTATAGATAATCAGCTTTTCTGGACAGATTTCTCACAGTAAATGACTGACTCACATTGACCTGGGTGGACTACAGTTTTGTCTCAGCTGTGTTGACCCTGATGGATCCTGCCGTGTGTGTGTGTGTGTGTGTGTGTGTGTGTGTGTGTGTGTGTGTGTATTCAGAAACTGCTAGTCTAGGTCATACGCTGTGCAGTATATTGGTATGTCTTCTGTTGCTTCTCAAGGCTCTCCTAGAGAGATCTAAGATTTCTTCCAAAGCTTCTTGACCCCAGTAGCCCTTGGTTCACACACTCGTTAGGTGCTCTACAGTGACTCAGTGCACTGTACAATTAACATCTCTTTACTCAGTTGTCTCCCTCACTAATCTCCCGTGGGAGATTAGTATCAGACCTAATGCATGGCAGTGAGTTCTAACTCGAGAGAATATGAATCCAATACGGGAAACTGGTGGCAGCCCAAGAGAGACACCATTGTTCTTGGGATCTAGAGAAATCTGTGAATTCTCTAATGGACAACCACCTGGAGAAGGTGAAGATTAAAATACTTGACTGTGCCTTTTAAGTGTACTTGAGTGAAAGTTTTGTGAGTAGTAATTTAGGCTGCATTGTTATTTCTTTCTATTTAGAATGATTTAGAGATGTTTCTGGGCTCGTGTTTGCTGTTTACTTTTTTTTTTTTTCCTACTATATTCTGTTGTCTTGTGGTGCATGGGAGTGATATCTGGACTTACCAGGAAACCAACTAGGAACAACCTAGTTTCGACACTATGAATTCTTACTTCCTCCCTTGTTTGATTTCTATAAAGAAACTATAAGCATATTTAACGTTTCAATGTTAAGGTCACTACTACCTAATGAAGGGTAATAGTGTTGTGGTGGCACAGCAAGTTAAGATGCTGCCTGTAATGTTGGCATGTCACATGGGCACCAGTTTGAGTTTCAGCTGTTGCACTTCCAATCAAGCTTCCTGCTAATATGCCTGGAAAAGAAGCAGAAAATAGCCCAAGGCCTTGGGTCCTTGCATCCATGTGGGACACCCAGATGGAATTTCTGGTTCCTAGCTTTAACCTGGTCTAGCCCTGGCTATTGATGGTCATTTGGGAAGTTAAACAGCAGGTGGAAGTTCTTTCTGTTTTTTTCTCTCTCTTCCATCCCCCAAGCTTCATGTAAATCTATGTTTCAAATAAATAAATCTCTTTTTTTAAAAAAAGAAAGCACATCAAACTTTTACTCTCTTCATTTAGCTCACTGTTTCTACTTCTCTTTCCCTCTGGAACATGTCACCACTTTTCTAATTCCACTCTAGTTTAGAAGCTTGGTTTAATATTTATTCTTTCCTTAACTCATTATATCCTATCTTCCTCTATATAAGAGGCCTATAAAGACTTAAATTGAGCAATAAGCATATCATTTGTGATAATTTCCAAGTAAAGATTATGTTGCTGAACCAATCACAGTATTGAAAACTTGAGACTTTATGGGGTAAGTCCTTTAAACTCAGTTTGCAGATGTAAAGGAATTATTGAGGTATAGTGCATGTGACAGAAGAAAAGAAACAAGCAAGCAACAGGAAATAATGCTTTTCCCAGATCACTGAAGAGGAAAAATTTGGACCTATTTATACCTACTTGTACAAGCTGATGCTGGCTAGGGATAGACTGCAGTATTGCAACCCCTCAAAAAGATGGTTCTGGAAGAATAGTGAGGAAGATTTGAGTGATATCTTTTGTCTGCTCTGCATAGCAGCTGAGTTGCACCAACATATAGATCTATTCCATTGGTGCCAGGTCAGGTGATTGATAACACATAAGTAAA